CGGGAGCGCCCGGCCTACAGCCCGGGGCATCCACGGTGCCCTCCCCCAGGTCGGCTCTGCTCGGCTCCCCTAGGCCTCCTGCCCCCCTAGACTTCTGCTCGGCTCAGCTGCAGGTCCCTGGAAGACAGCCCCTCTCTGACACACACACACCAGCCACCCCGGCCTTCAGTCCAGGAGCGGCCTTTTGAGGGGACTCCTTCCTACCAGCCCTTCTACCCAGCCCTTCCAGGCTTGACTGAACCCCAGGGCGAGCCCCTCAGCTCTTCCCACGTCCAGCTGACCCAACGCCAGCGCAGCCAGGCCTCACACTGACCCCGCGCTCCGAGCAGTTCTCAGCTCCTGCCCCTTTGCTGGGGGCAAATATTTCCCCACAGAGGCCTGGGGGCCAGCCTCGAGGAAGCAGCTAAGATGTTTTAAGTGAGAGCCCTGCTCCTGCAGTGCTTGGGGGAATGGTACAAGTCAGGATGAAATGGAGCAAGAATTGGTGACAGCTTCCAGAGCTAGACCCTCGGCGGGAAGGAAAGGCAGGGGCAGGCTTTGCTCCCCCAAACAAGGATGCACCCACGCAGCCCAGCCAGCATGTGCTCTTTCTAGACAGGAAACTGGCACTTTTAAAGCAAAGGACCATGCACAGTAGCCAGCATCGATTTGCTAATTCATCAAGACACATATTCACACATTCCAGGCTTTTCCAAAATAGCTTAATCCTGAAGAAAAGAGTGCAGAACTGACTGTAGAGGAAAGTGTCCCGTGGGGATTCTACCCAGGCGTATGCGTTGCATACATCTGTATCTTCCAGAAATGCCGCTGGTTCCAATGGTTTTACAGCAAGTCCGATCACACCATTGGAGTCCAGACTTATCTCTGTATTATTTAAACTTACACAGCAAAAGGAAAAAAAATACGTATTTCCCAGGTTTAGCATAACCCTGACACTAAGATCCAAAAGAACTGCCAATAAGTATTTAGCCCCCGAGAGTTGAATATGTGCGTTTTGGAGAAATTTCTGCAGTCTAAAAAATTGAGAAAGTACTGTATGGCACACAATAGTCTCAGCTTTTGGAGACTCTAGGTAACTGTTATTATGTGGAGTGAAGTCCAGTAGTAAAAGAAAACAAAACCCGTCTGGTTTGTTTAGCAAGCTATTTCTTAAACTCATCTGGGCTAAGGCCACCTTTTCAGAACTCATAAATTAACCCCCAATGTGTGAACTACCGCTACAGAGCAACGCGCTTAAGAACATAGTCATTGCAAAACTACTAAATAAGATTGTAGGAATTTTGAATCCACTTTGCTGTAGAACTAGCCAAAACTTTCTACGATCAAGTGACATTACTCCACATATACAAAGATAAAATTAACATTAAAAAATCTATAGGGGTTGGGGAGATGATGCAGCAGTTAAGAGCACTGACTACTCTTGCAGAGAACCCAGGTTCATTTCCTAGGACCCAAACCAGGCAGCTCACAAATGCCTATAACTCCAGTTCCAGAGAATCTGATGCCTTCTTCAGGCCTCCGTGGGTACTTGCATGCATGTGGTGTATATACACACACACTCAGGCCCACACACATACACAGAAAATAAAAATAATAAATCTGTAAATTCATTGCATTGTTTAAAAAATCATGGGATGTTGCAATATCAATAGGATAGATACTTTGAAAGTATTTGATGCATCTCAACATCAATGACAATGAATTTTTTAAAAATTTCATAAACTAGAAAGAACTTTTTAAAAAAATGTGTGTAAGTATATTGCTGGCATGTTAGGTAGGTGCACCTATGTTGTGCGATGCCCATGGAGGTCAGAAGTGGGCATCGGATTCCCCTGGAACTGGGGTTACAGAGGATTGTGTGGGTGCTGGGAATCGAACTTGGCCCCTCCGCAAGAGCAGCCAGTGCTCTTAAGCACTGAGCCACCTCTCCAGCCCCACTAGAAAGAACTTTTAAACTTTGTGTTTTGTTTGTTGTTTTGGAGACAGGTCTCCCTGTAGCCCCACAGGCCTGGAACTCACTATGTAGACCAGGCTGGCCTCAATCTCACAGAGATCCATCTCCCTTTGCCTCCTAAGTGCTAGGATTTAGACATGCACCACCACGCCCAGCTTAAGCTTCTTAATATGACAAAGTTCATTAGAAGCCATCAGCACACATATCTGATGATGAAACATTAAAGATAGTCTCATTTAAGTTAGAAACAAAACAAGGATGTCTGCTATAAGTGTTATGAAAGAGTGCAATAAGATAAGAAAAATAATTAAGAAATACAAATATTAGGAAGAAAGAAACATTTTCATGATTTGTTCATGATTTGTTTCCCTTAAAACTCAAAAGAATCAACTAGACTTTGTTACAATAACCCATTACAAGATAAACACCCAAATCAGTGGTCTTCCTAAATGTCAAGAGAGTATCTTTCTTCTTTATAGTAGAGTAACTTCAATTAAGTTGAGTCTTGGCCCCTTGGGTCAGGGGAGGGTAAGCTTGGAAGAAGTAAGTGTTGAATTTGGTGAAGGGGTTGAGCAGGAACAGATGATTTAGGTTGACTGCGGATCGCAATTTTTTCTTATGTTTCTGCTACTTAATAAGTGGGCCTATTTCTGGGGCACAGATAACCACTGCCCCATTATTCCTACCACTACAGAAATAAATCTGTCTAATTCAAGAAGTAATAAAGCAAATCCACTAGGGCCCGTACTTGCCAATTGGCTTTGTCAATAATAATGGTAGGAGTTTTGTATACACATTCCTTTTCCTCTATTTCTCAATTTGTTCCAAAGTCAGAAGACAGTGAGGTACCACTTATAAGATGACCCCAATAGAACACTAAGTATCAGTAATTTCCATTTATAAAGTATGATGTGAAATTATATCCACATTATTAATACTTATTATAAGGTATATGCGAATCATAAGCTTAATTAGAAATGTTGGAGCTCGTAGAAAGAAAGGTATAGAACCTTACTAAGGGACATAAAAGGCCTTCATGAATGGAAACATATAATAAATACCTGAACAGGAAACCTCACATTGTGAAAATATATCTTCCCAACTCAATTTATGAATGTATATACCTACATCAAAAAATATGATATTGGAGGCAGAATGAGGTAAAATATGACAAAATAATTGTAAAGCTTATCTTGATAAATAAATATTGGGAAAATACCCAGGAAAATTTTGAAATAAAAGAATAATGAGGTAACATCGCTCTAACAGCTATTAAAATGTAATGGAAAAAAAAAACCTTGGGACTGGAGAGATGGCTCAGTGGTTAAGAGCACTGGCTGTTCTTGCAGAAGACTCAGATTTGACTCCCAGCACCCACATGGCAGCTAACAACCATCCATAACTCCAGTTGCAGGGGATCCAACATTCTCTTTTGTCCTCCATAGGCACTGCACAACCTGGGTGTACTTACATACATGCAGGCATAACACTCATATATATAAAGTAAAAATAAATAAATGGGTGATGGAGAGACAGCTCAGTGATTAAGAACACTGACTGCTCTTGCAGAGGACTGGAGTTTGATTCCCAGCACTCATATGGTGGCTAACAACCGTTTGTAACTCCAGTCCCAGGGAAATCTGACACCTTCTTCTGACCTCTGAGGGCATTGCACGACATGGGTCCACTTACACACATGCAGGCAATACACTCATACACATAAAATAAAAATAAATAAATAAACAAATGTTTTTAAAAAGAAAAACTCCAGCAAATAAAACTATAGGTCACTAGTGTAGGAATACATGCTTTAAAAAATCATTTTATTTTATGTGTATGAGTGTTTGTTTGCATGTATATATGTAAGTGTACCAAGTGTGTGCCTGGTGCCCAAGGAGGCCAGAAGAAGTAACCAATCCCCTGGAACTGGGATGGGTATCAGCTACTATGTGGGTGCTGGGAATCAAACCCGGATCCTCTGGAAGAGCATTAAGTGCTCTTAACCACTGAGCCATCTCTCCATCCCTGAAATATATAATTTTAAAAAGACATTTTTATCAAGGTAAATGTATATATGTCTGCATATGTGCATATGCATGTGCATGCAGTGCCCTTGGAGGCCAGAAGAGGGCTTCAGATCCCTTGGGGCTGGAGTTACAGGCAGTTGTGAGCCACTCATCCTCGGTGTTGAGACCCAAACTGGGGTCTTCTGCAAAAACAGCAAATGTGCTCTTAACTGCTAAGCCATCTCTCCAGTCCCAGGAATATACTTGTTTATCATTGAATTCCACTGATGTTTTCTTTTTATCCTTTGGTCTGTTTGT